ACTTCCCCTGCCGCTGCTGGATCAACAGGCTCTCAATCTACCTTTCCCCTCTACATCCCTTGTGAGTTTCAGCAGCAGCCTGTCACCTACGGATCTACCCGTTCCACCCGTTCCCACCGTCCCCCTCCTCTTAGGCAGTAGAGAGGAAAGTAGATTGTGAGCCTGTTTCTGGGGGAGTGTAATTGATTAGAACTTCTTGAAACAGCTGCCTGCCTTTCCCCTCTCTCTCTGGTTCTGCCGCTTGCAGGCTTTGCCTCCCTGCAGCAGGAGGGAGGGTTTGGCACACCCCTGCTCCCTCCCCCATCAACCCCTACCTTCCTCTGCCCCCCCCCCTCCTCCAGGCAGTAGAGAGGAAAGGTAGATCGAGAGCCTGTCGGCTGTGGATCTAGCCTGGGGCAGTGAAATTGACAAGAACTTCCCGAACGTGGCTGCCTACCTCTTGCCCACTCTCTGGTTCTGTCCCTTGCAGGCTTTGCCTCCCTGCAAGAGGAGGGAGGGTTCAGCACCCCCCTGCCCGCCGACCCCCTACCCCAGGCAATAGGGAGGAAAGGTAGACTGAGAGCCTGTCGGCTGTGAATCCAGCCCGGGGCAGTGTAATTGACTAGAAATTCCTGAAGCAGCTGCCTGCCTCTTGCCCCCTCTCCACCACCCTGCAACATGACGGAGAGTTTGGCGCCCCTGCCGCCGACCTCGGTCCCCTTCTCCTCCCTCTCTCCTTCCTGTCCCGCCCCCCAGAGGCAATAGATAGAGCAAAGATAAATTGCAAGCCTGTCGCCTGCAGATCCAGCTGCAGTTAGTGTAATTGACCCGGACCAGTGGATGCTGGACCACCGGAGTTTTACTGTAATAGGTTTAATCTGCAGCAAGGATCATGTAGGTTAGATTTTAAGAATTTTTTTCAAATATAAAGATTATCCTCTGTAATAGTCTTCGAAGGATTTCACAGCCACCCCCAAAATTAGAGATTTTTAAGAAAAGATTGGATAAATGCTCCATCAAGAATGGTCTAGGTTTTCTTTGTCCATCCTCAGCAGCACCTGGGACGTGATGATTTCTTGATATCCCTTGTAGCTCTGTTTCTATGATTCTGTCACTTGTTTGGGGGAGGCAGCAGCCCTTCACTCTTCTGAATGATTTGATGTATACATGTATGAGGTGCTGTGCTAGCTGGGAGAGCTGCCAGCACAGAATTCACCACATAGGCTGGTGCCTTTTACTTAAAACAGAAAATTAGAAACTCATGAAAATAAGAATGTTAGTCATACCATTTCTTGAAAAGAGGACAATATGGAAGCTTGGAGTAACTATTTATTAGCATAAAGATAAAATCCGTCAAAGTACTTAAAGCTTACATGCACTGACCATTTCTATAAGACACATTTCTGTACAATAATTTGTCTGGTTTGAGCACGTGCAAACACACATCTCTAGCAGTTTAGCAGGGGCACAGATGCCCATACATAAGCTTGTAAAAAGATTTCACCAAAAGAGTCACAAGGAGAGAATGTAATGCATACATAGTTTTCACATGTTTTAAAATGGAAAAGATCGTGCTTATGGTAAATACTGTTACATCCTGTTCCATTAGCTGTAGCACCTGTCGACTGCTGTATGGATGTGGTTTGAATACAAAATATAACATTTACCATTACTTGGAGCCACAATGATAGCTTCTAGTTGTTGTTCAGGACCCACCAGGAAGCTGGAAAGGAAAAAATAAATGTTTGAACAATTCTTACTCTATTTTTTACAATATTCCTCTCTTTCCTCCCTTCTCCCCCAAACTGTTTTTGAACCCTAAATAGACTATCTATAATCTATTCCTCTCCTAGCCTAAAAAAAGCATTAAACAGTTCTTATTGTGTTCAGTTCTCACCAAAAATAATTGGAGACATGCATTTTAAAGACAAAACTTGCTTAATCAGAGGAGAGTGGTAGTCCAGGAGAAGTTGGCTGAAGAGCTGAATAGAATAGTGGAGGAAGGGGGAGAGAGTTTTCACTCAGTGGAGCTGACTGCTTCTGTGGGCAAGTGTAGTGGGGGGGCCCTGGCTCTGCACTTGCAGAAGGAGTGTGGCTGAGGGTGGAATGGGTGGGGCTGAGTGCAGCACTCTATCAGTGATTTAAAAGGACCAAGGGCTGCGGGAGAGGGGGGAGGTGAAGCCCTGGGCCTCTTTTTGAATTGCTGAGCTCCAGGGCATCCGCCTCCTTTGCCCCCCTTGATCTGCAGGCCTGTTTGTACTTTCATAGACTAGATTTTTAAATTCTCAGTATTTGTCATAAGGAAGGCTATTGACGAGAATGGAGCTTCTTTTCCTTAGATTCACCCAACTTTGGCCAGGAAAGTCTAGTTGTCTGTAATGCTTTGGGCTACAACAGTGGTTTGGTACACATGTCCAAATAAATTCCAGTCCCATAGCTCAATCTGAAGGTATGATGCCATTAACATAGCAGCTCTTTCCTCTAGCTGTGGTCATTTCTACTGTTAGGCTTTTGCAAGAAGGATGGTAACCATAACTGGTGATTGACCTTGGGAAAGATGTACTTTTTCACAACAGCCTTTAAAGCAAGGGTAGTTGACTGAGGTATCTGTCCACCTTTCTCCTCCTCTGATCTAAAATAGGATGCAAGGTACAGCAGCCTCATTTGACAAATACCTTGCTCAGATAACACTCAGTTGTGATTCCTGCAGATTCCTTTCCCTGTTTTAAATCAAAATCAGTGGTCTTGGACCACTGAAGAGCCTAAGAATTGGATCTTACCTTATAGATGCACTGCCTACACTTCTATATAGTGAAAAAGTATTTGGGATCAGCTGATTCCTTTGGTCCATCTGAGTCCAAATATGAGCCTGTATATCCATCCCCTCACTTAGGCAGCTGAAATTGTAAGGGCAATGAGGTGGAAGATTGTGAAGGCATCATTAAGCATTGATCTTTCCTAAGCTAGTGCTAAGGCCAGACTCCTGCTTTATGAGCACTGAAGTCAGGTCAATCTTGTTGAAAAAGTGCTCCAACTGCACTGGGAGTTCAACCCTTTCCAGTGAAGGGAAAGAACACATCAAATCTAGTACTGATTCATGGCAGCCTTATACAGAGTGGAGCAAGCAGACCTGGTCACTGGTCTTCTATTAATACCCAGTCATATGACATGGGTCTAGGCTACAAAAGATGCCTCTGTCAAATGACAGTAGATTCTGATCACTGTCTTCACTGGTTACTATTGCAAAGAGGATCCTAGACCTCACTCAAGCAAACCTGTTACTTTTGTGATTTGATCTTTGTTTGGGTGCATATACTCATTTTAAAATAAATTGAATTATTCACATAAGAGAGGGTTTCCAGGATTTAATTCCTGGTTTGTAGTCTGAGTCTCAGATTCAGTGTGTGACCTTGGAGAAATCAATTCATTTCTTTGTTGGTGAGTTCAGCTGGAAAATTGGGTTACAAAGGATCATACTGAAAAGCAGTAACAGTGTCTAAGCTGGGCTTTCCTGGGTTACATCAATTACAAAATTACAGCTATTAGTAGCAGTTCTTTTCTGTCTTTGCTGAGTTTTAAACTGGTCTCAGTCTCCATTGTATGTTACTGTTGCATAAAATATATTGATTGCCTCACATCCATCACTTTTGATATCTCTTAAACCTTTTCATTCCTTTGAATACAAATTTGTACAGAGATCCTTATGATTCAATTACTGCACTTATTGAAAAATAACATTTCTAAAAGAAAATGTAGCTTATACATTGTGAGAATTAAACTACGCATATCCTAAATATTACTTTTCTCTATTATTTTTTGAATAAGGAATTCATATTGAGCAATACTGTAGTTGCCATGGTAGTAATCTACCAGGAGGAATGTTGTAGACTGAAATACCACTTAAAAGGCAGAGTTCATGTTTTAAACACATTTTTAAATTTGATTTCAGATTGATCTTTATATTTAGATATTTATAAATGATATACAAATTTTATTTGGTTTGATGCTAAACATACTTTTTCCAGCCATGATTGGAACACTACTATTTCTTCTTTCTCCAACCCTTACTGAATTACACCCCAGCCATTGGCACCGTGTAGGGTGATACTATGATGCAGAGGGAAATGGTTGATTATTTTACTAAATTACTGAGAAATTCTGCGTTCCTTCATTAGGGTTTACTCCTTCCTTGCTCAAGCAAACTCTCGTTGAAGTCAGAGGAGTTTGTGTTATGGGAGTTTGCTTGATGTAAGAACCTCAGTATTTGGTCCAATTATTCGGCTGGAGAGAAAAAATGGTCTAGAGGTTAGGCACTGGATAAGGACTTGTAGACTTAGATCGTACAGTAGGAGGTCTGGGGTCAGTTCTGAGCTCAGAGAGATTTCTTGTATGACCTTGGACAACATACTTATTCTCTCTGGGCCTCAGTTCTCTATCTGTAAAATGGAGATGATGCTTCCTCCATTTGTCTCTGTTCTTGTCTACTAATACTATAAGCCTTTGGCCTAGGAAGTGTCTCTCTTATAAGGTGCATGTATACCACTTAGTACTAGGTGTTACTATAATACCAATAAAATGAATTGTAATATGAGAATAGGCTGCATCTCAAATTTTCAGAATGGAGTTTGGAGTAAAGTTGCAGTAAATATGCACAATTGGGTGATAAATTAAGACCTCTTTTTGTCAATGTAATATAAGCAGCTGCAATTAAATTGAAATCTAGCTGTTTGAGAGAACAGACATTTTCTACTCAGTATTTTTAAACAATTGTTTTGTTTTTAAAGTTCCAAGTAACACAGTTTTACTATTTACAGAGAACCTCTTTATTCTGGATATTTTCTGTACCATATTTGTTATCTTAATACTTAATTTGTAATAATCTTACTTCTCCAATAGGAGAAAGTATTCTATGTATTCCTATTATTGATGTGTTTAACAATTCTATGACTGTACAAACACTTGGTGCTTAAAGAAAAAAGCAAAACAGAGGCAAAACTACAAAAGAAGGCTGAATAAGGGCAAAATCTGCAGTTCTACATATGAAATGTTCTTGTCAATGGGAAGTATTCAAAATAAAGCAAGTAAAATTTTTAAAAATTTGGATAATTACCAGGTACTAGCATAGTTGTCATGAGTTCTGGAGTTTCCAAGAAGTCCACGTTACTCCTTTGGAATGTCTTGCAGTAGTTCATCTGGAGATGGCTGTATACATGTGTGATGAGAAGTTAACAAGATTAAAAAAAAAAAAAAACTTTCTGAACTGATTGGGCTGGAGTCTATAAACAAGATTTTAGGCTTCCGAAACCCCCAAAATAATGGATTCCACCTTCAGATTGGTTGGCCTGATCTATTTTATAGAATAGTTCAGAGAGAAATTTCTACCTCTTCCCACTTCCCTATATCCTTAGTCTCCTGAAGGCTGGAACCAGCTGGTGGAAAATCCCCTAGGTATGGTATCTTCTAAACTCCTGAATAGACTGGAAGCCTACTAGACTTCTGTGGCAGGGGCACGATACTTTGGAGGGAAGCATGTGCCACTCACATGCTTAACATTACTCATGCCCTTACCTATGTATCAGGACTCCAAACTGTTTGTGTGTCTCCTTTTGACTTCTAATCCATTGTGTACTAGTTCTCTGCCATCATCCTATGAGCCCAGTACTACTTTCCTTCTATACTCAACTACTGTCCCTATTTGATGACTCCTTACTCTGTATCTCACCACTCTCAGGCTCTTACTGATTAAGATAGTGGATGGCTTTCCAGTATTTTTACATAGATATTCAAATAGTGTTCTTAATAACATTTAATTGTAAAGTAAATAAAATAATTAAAAATATTTATATCCGCTACTTTTATGGAGTTACCTTTTTAACCTTCACATCAGCCTGAAATACAAAAGGTAATCTCACTACTTGCCTATTCCAGGCACTGGTGTTCTCCCAGAACTCATAAACAATGAAGCGGGATTCACTTGAAAGCTTCTGTATGGAAACACTGAAAGTTGTAGGATAGAATTATTTTAATCAGCAACATTTTTTTCCAAGCTGCTGTACAGTTATTGAACAAAACTCAGGTATTTCTGTAAAAAGTGTATACTTGGATAGTCTGAGGGTCAAATATCGGGCACTAGAAACATCTGTGTTGCAAATGACTTGAGCTATGTTACTTTGATTTAAGCTAAGCTAAACAATTATCTTAACTCAAATGTTGGTGCTGTCCACACTGTGGAAAATCACCTTTCTTTACACTTCAGAAGCAGGACTACTGGCATTGACAGGAGAGCCTTTCAGTTTGATTTAGTGTGGTTTCACTAGACCCACTAATTTGAACCCTGGAAGATCAACTCCAGCTGCTTCGATCTTACCGGTATTGTAGACGTGGTCCAACTTCACTGCATAGCAAATCAGCATAATAGGTGAATTACCACAGAGCAAGTGAAATAAGTTGTGAAATAAGGGCAAGATTTTCAACAGTTTGTAGTGACTTAAATGTGTCAGTACTTTTGTTCCCAATTTGAGACTGGTTAAAAGGGTCCTATTATCAGAAAGGGCAGATTATCCACCCTCAGAAAATCAAGCTTATTGGGTACGATAGCTCAGAGTGGGATACTCAAGAAGTAAGGCATCTAAATAATCAGTCCCTTCTGAAAATCATCACTCAAATTATGCTGCTTTACTGCAGAATCGCATTGTAAAGGTTCATTTTTCATAGGTGAGAAGTACATCAAAGCAGGCTGGGCCATAGATGAGGGGTGGGCACCTAGCCTTTGAATGGCCCACCTAGCCTTTAAATCTGACTGGCGTTCACATGTGGCACAGAGCAGCACCCACTCAAAATGGCTAGCCTGTTCCCTTTGGCTCTCTGTGCTGCGGAGGGAGGGGGAAGAGGAGGCTTTGCATGTTGCACCTTGCCCCTGGCAAAATCTCTCAGCTTCTATTGACTAGAAATGGGCCAAGAGGCGCTTACTGATTTTTGCTGGGGGTCTGTGTAGCATGCAAAGCCTCCCCCCACCCAGTGCAGAGGGCTATATGGAACAGCCTGCGGGGGACAGGCAGAGAAACCTTGAGAGAGCTGCTGGCCGGGAACTGCTTAGGTAAGTACCTCCCAGCTGCAGCCTGCCTCTGGTACCCACTCTCTCCTGCACCCGACTCCCTCCCAGACCCTGCACCTCCTCCTGTGCCCCTCCCCAGGCCAGAATACTCTGCTGTGGCCCATACCCCCTCATGGATCGTTCACCCCAATTTTCTGCCCTAGGTCACCACCCAGACCCTCTTCACCCTCCTTACCCCCAGCTCACAACTCTCTCCCAGACTCTGCACTCAATCCTATATCCCTCCCCCAGGCCAGAATCTTCTCCTTCACTCATATCCTCTCCTGGACCCTGCACACCAATTTCCAGTCTGAGGTCACAACCCCCTCTTTCACCCATACCCTCTCTCAGACCTTACGCCTACTTCTGCACCCAACCTCCATCCCAGATCACATAGTCATGCCATAGAAAAGTGTGGCTCTTGACCATTTTCCAAAACTTTGGTGTTGCGCCCCCTCCCCCTCCACATCAAAAATTATTTCCCACCCCTGAGGAGCTTTGGAAGCGTGAAGTCATATGTGTCACGTATGGTCAGTGTCTTCTGCTCATATGTATTTTTAAAACAATATCTTTTAATCATTATTTCTATTGTGATAGCACCAAGGGACCCCGCGTGTCCTCTTATGCCATTATCTACTCATGGGTTTATTCATCCAGTTGCCTTATTCCTGCCAAGGATTTCTTCTACCAATCTATCAATCCATGGTGGCCTAAAGTGTCCCATGGAACATATCTCCAATCCTTCCCATTGTGTCATCTGCTTCAGTGCACCCTATAAAGCTCATACTCAGGACCTAGTCTTCAAATATATGTCTTGATTTGATTTGTAATGCTGCATTTACAAAAAGCTTCATGGAAAAATAGAACACTATGCAATATGAAGATGTGATCAGGAACTATATACAGTTGAATAAAACATCTAGACTGAATCAGCAGGTGACCAGCAGGTGGCATCACTGGCATATCAAATATCTGCTAACTTGGGACAACAAATCTTATTTTTTTTATATGTGCTCTTTAAGTTAAATTTTCAGCTTAGGATTTTTCTTATGACCAGTGTGCAGTTCAGTGTTATTAAAGAATGTTTTGGTATGTTGTAGACTCTGTTTGTGGTAAGCACCATTTTTGTTTGTTTTCCATCTCTTGGCCCTTGTGTGATAGTCATAGTTAACTATTCCTAAATACTACAAAAAATTCACTTTTTTTTCCCCTTCAAGTTAATTTCCTTACAATGTCTGTTATGGTGAGTTATATCCCTTCTATAGAATTGGCACTTGACACAAAAATGTTCTGTTGGAAAATGTGAAAATATTTCACTAACTTTAATCCTCAATTGAGATTGCCCTTTGCCCATATTCACTAGGTTTGAAAAAAGCTGTTCCAAAAAATAGATTGCTTTTCCAAACTTTGTTTTGACATGAGATCTGACCTGTATGTTTTTAGTGTAAGTTGGCCTATTTTATTACTTTACTAGATATAGTTTCCTCTTTGATTTCCCATGCCAAAACAAACTAAGTGGACCTGATTTTTTTTCAATCACTCGACAGGCCCTTTGCACTGCTTTGTTAATGGAAAGGGAAATAAAGTCCTGTTGGTTCAATTCAGTGAAACACCCCTTTCTGAAGAGCAATGCTGGGATAGTACAGCTCCTGGTAGAGTGGGAAAATGGAAGAATAAGGAGATGTTGTAGTTCACTGTTACTAGAACAACAGGTCCAGCCATAGGCAACCAAGTGTAAGTGAAAGTAGCTCTTAGTTTGCTTCTACATATTCTAGGGGCTGACCAGTTCCAAAATTGGTGAATCATAAAGGTAGCTATGCTCCTGGCCCCTCCCAGCAGCCCTGCTGGGTTGTGCCATGCAGCCCAGCTGCAGGGACACCAGCCTTCCACCAGGACTCTTTGGCCCTGGAACATCTATGGTCCTACTGGACCATGGATGTTGCCAGACCAGGGAATCTCGGATTACAGAGGTTCAACCTGTATCCCATTACATTTTGTTAGGCTAGAGGGTAATGATTCAAACACTAGCTCACAGGCTTGCACAAAATGAGGCAAACATCCCTGGCATTGCTCAGCTAATGATGATTTTATCTTTTAAGTATTGGATATAGAGTAGAATTCGATATTTTTTTAAAAATTTCAATGAATATCAGTGTGCTAACTTTTTTTTTCAATTTACATTTTCACAATTGTGGAGAAATGGTGGGAGATTTGGAGGTCAGAGAATAATTATTTGATTACTAGAAGTTGAGGTTCAAATGTTAAAGCTTTATCTTAAACAACAAATAATCAAAATCATCTCTCAAAAGATGCAAAGCAAATATCCTTAAAATCAAACCTTAAGTTCTCATAAGTATTTTTTCTTTCTTTTCCTATCTGTAAATGAATTTTTTTGTTGGTTTGTGTACATACAGTAGAATTGACATTTATTAATGAAAATCTAATCCTTTGAAGCCTACTTAAATGTTTTTAGAAAACCTTTGTTTACTACCTTTTTAGTGGAGCACAGGGAGGGAATCTCATCCCTTTTAATTAGCAATTCTCAAACTGTGAGGAAGGCTTCCCAAGGGAGGCCTGAGCTGTGTTCCCCATATTAAAAATTGGGAATATTTGATATGCTTTGAACTTTCCCTCTTATTCCAATAGTCCTGTCTCAACTCTACCCTCATGTGTTCCCCAATAGAGGAAAAGATGGTCTATCTGTTCATAAGTACCCCCATACTATACAGATTGCATGGAGGAAACCAGTTTCTCTCCATTTGGGGTTCCTAACCCAAAAAGGAGTTTCAGGAGGGGTCACAACATTGCTACCCTTACTTCTGCACTGAATTCAGAGTTGGGTGGATGGAGAGCAATGGATGCTTTCACAGGTGGTTACCTGGACGGCAGTGTACCAGCAGCAGTACCTCAGAAATAAGAGTGGCAGTATCGTACCATGATCACTTACTTTCGCTTTGCTGTTGGTGGCATCTCTGCCTTCAGAGCCGAGCTCCCAACATCACTTGCTGCTCTCCAGCTTCTCAACTTCGGCAGCAGAGCCATTGTTAACAGCACTGCAGAAGTAAAGATCACAGCACCTCAACGTCCCCTACTTCCACCCCACCTCCCACACAACTTCTTTTTGGGTCAGAATCCCTACAATATTGTGAAATTTCAGATTTAAATAGATGAGGTAGTGTAATTTACAATTTTTAAAATCCTATGACTGTGGAATTGGTAGGATCCTAGTAACATCATACTTACTGCAAACATCCAGTCCGAGTAGAAGCAGACTCCACATATTGTTTCAGAGCGAGTCGGAATTCTTCTAGTTCTTCCTCTAGCACAGACATTTGACGCTGAACAATCATTATGTGCTGATAAAGATATTACAGTATTCAGTGTCATGTACCTCCTATCAATTCCAAATATTTTAAACTTAGAAAATACTCAGGTTCCTAGTTTGAGAACTCTTTGGCCTGAGTTCCAGAAGTGCTGAACATCTTAGCTCTCATCAGCTTCAATTAGGGTGACAAGTGCTTAGCCCCTTTAAAAATCAAGCCTTAGGTTTCTCAAGTTGAGTGTCCTGAAATCCATGATATTAAGTAGGGATATAAATCAAAATAGTTAACCAGTTAAACAACTCAAATTATATTGTTTAAGTTGGTGGGTGCAGGGCAGTGAAGGGGGAGGAGGGTTCTTGCCAGGGTTTGGGGCTGCTGTGGCATGGCTGGGCCCAGGGTCTTGCCTGCTCTTGCCCAGGGTTGCTGCAACTGCTGCTCTGACTAAGGGGTTCCCACCACATGGCCCAATGTGGCTGATAGTCTGGTTAACCTATTACCCCACAAGCATTCTAGTAAGCCTAATGTTTACCAGGTAACTAGTTTACCTTATACATCCCTAATATCTTGTATATCCAACTTTATTACATTACATGGAAAAAAAAAAGTAATGCATCATTCAGACTGAGCAATCAGGTAGAGCACAGAATTTAAGAAAACACTGATTACTGTATATGGAAATCTTAAGGGGATACTCTCACTTCCAATTGCCCCTACATTTAGCTTTTGTAAATATAAGTTTTTATAAAATGTAAGACTAACATCAATTATTCCATCATTCAAAACAAAGCAAACAAAAAAACCTTCCCCAATACTCCTCTGCAGGCTTTGCAATCCACTGTTTGAGTGCTCTGGAACCTTAGGGTAATTGAATCTACATATTATATAGGTGTTATTCTTACACCACCTAGGTTATTGTTCAAGTTAGGCATCCAAAATCGGTGGCCACTTTTGAAAACTTGTGTGACTTGTCCAAAGCTTGGATGAGTTTGTTTTGTTGATTATGTCAAGAAACAGTAATTGCTTATTTCATAAGAAAAGTCAGCACATTTCTATGGATAAATCAATACACAAGTAGGTGTTCAAGTTGAACCTAAGTCTTCAGATACAGTTTGGTTCATGGGCTCTCTAGTACATCCCTTTGACTCCAGTTGCTCACAAGTCCAAAACAAAAGATTACAGGTTAGACATCTCTTATCTAGCACCCTTGGGACCTGACCAGTTCCAAACCAGCGAACTTGCCAGACTAGAGAAGGTTCCCTGTCACAGCCCCCACCCCAGACTCTGCTTCTCTGGGTGGGGGGAGGAGAAGCGGGGTACTACCTCAAGCCCCTGCCGGGCTGTCTGCTGGGTTGCTGGCCCTTCTGCTGCTGCCCCAGCCAGACAGCGTGCAGTGCTCCAGCAGCCCGCACGGCCACAGGCTGCCACAGGCTCCAGCCCCAAACTGTCAGGGGCTCAGGCTCTGGTCCCAGGCCCACAGCAGCCCATGGGCTCTGGCCCTGCTTCTGTGGGCTGTCTGGGGCTCTGGCCCCATGCTGCCATGTGTAACTGGGGCTACTGCCAGCCCCGGCTCTGGTCTTACTGCCCCGGGCTACTGAGGGCTCAGGCTTCTACCCCATGGCAGCCTACAGGCTCTGGCCCAGCTTCCGTGCGCTGCCCAAGGCTCTGGCCCTGGCCCCTGCACTATCTGGGCTGTTCTGACCCAGTCCCGGTGCCAGAGGGGCTTCTGGGGGCTGCCGTTGGCTCCAGCTCCCTTCCCCATCCTACTGCTTCAGCGTGGCCTCTCTTAGATTGCCCGCCTGCCAATAAGCTACCGGGGTTCTCTGCTCCAGGACCATGGATGTTGCTGGACTAGAGAATTCCAGTTTTGGGAGATGCAAACTGCACCAAAAATTATTCAAGTTATGGAGTACAACTCTATTTTTTATATATTCTAGTACTGGTTTTCTCAGACATATAATCAGGAAATAGAGGTGACAAAAAAGAACATATATGCTTCTGATTCACTTTTGATTTAGTCCTTGTGAACTTAAATGAAAAACAAAAAATTTATAATGTGGTCATAGTATTATAGTAATTTTTTGAAGTTACCTGTTGAAAATAATTGAAAACATACACAGACTCACAAAGTTTGTCCCCTTTACAGAATGAATAAAGTTCATGAAAGGTAAAACTCTAGGGCTATGTCTAGACTACAAGCCTCTTTCAAAAGTCTTTTTTGAAAGATACTTTTTTGAAAGATACTTTCAAAAGAGATTCTTTTGAAAAAGAGAGTCTAGACTACAAGCACATTTTTTTTGAAAAAGCGAGCAGCTTTTTCGAAAGTCTAGACTCTCTCTTTCGAAAAAGCACAGTTTGCATTCAATAGCGCCTTTTTTTAAAAAAAAGTACTTTAGAAAAAAGGTTTTATTCCTCGTAAAATGAGGTTTACCGTGATTGGAAAAACTGACACGTTCTTTCGATTTACTTTCGAAAGAATGCAGCTGCAGTCTAAACGCAGTTGAAGTTTTTTTCGAAAAGACTACTTTTTTCGAAAAAACCGTGTAGTCTAGATACACCCTAGAAGAGTAATTGAGAATACAACAGACTTTCTCCTGACTTCTTGATGATGATAATTCTAATATTTTAAGGGACTTGGATTTTGGTTTAGTCATTGAATATATTATTTTGTTTATTCAGTATTTCAAGAAACGATGTTTGCTTAACAACCAACACAATGGAATCTTTAGTCCAGGCTTTGATTCCTTTCTGGCTTTATTATTGGTATGAAAGTCTCATTGCTCAACTTGCATTTATACTATTTCAAAAGCTAACTGTTTTTCTTGTTTGCTTCTATTAAGTACCATCATGACCTGTCTCTTTTCATATGTATTTGATTTTAATTTTTAACCTTGGTATCAACACTGATTTGTTTTGAAGATTTTCTGTTAGCATGCAAACCTACATGTAATTCATTTCTGAATATGTTCTTAGCTTCTTTGCTTTTACTGTTTGCTATCTTTGTTCAGTATTTCCAAATAATGGGTATTTTCTCATGTCCTCCCCTTTTGTTGATACTTCCTTTTCTCCCAGAAAAGCCTCTAAAAGATTTTGGAATTATTTCTTATGCATTTGGGCTCTGCTGCAATAAAATAGATCCTTACTATCTGAAAAGTGAGTTAGGCTTTTCAACCAAGCTGCAGATGGATACAGTATGCACCATATAAAATTCATCCATAAATACCTTAATACATTCACTGCCTTGAAAAACACTTACAGATTTTGTGTTTCCTTCCAAAACCGCCTCTTCCCGTGGCTCCAGCTTCAGATCCTTGTGATCAAGGAGGGTTGGTGGTGGAAATGCAGATATAAACACAAAAGATTAGCTGTGAGCAGTGCTTTAGATTTGCCTTTTTTTTGGGCCGGGGGGGAGGGGGAGGGAGAGGGAGAGGGAGGAGTGTCGTAGACTTGGCCATTCCAAATCAGATTCTACTATAGGCTGATTTTAGCATGAAGTTTGAACTAAGGTCTTTCTGCTTACTTATTAGTTGTTAGTTTGACAAATAGGTTGTTTACAGATCTTCATCCAATTGTATGACTGTGCAAGAGCTACAGACTGGATCAAATTTAGTGTGCTTTCTCTCTCTCTCTCTCTCTCTCTCTCTCTCTACCAAAAGAGTGTGTGCTTTCAAATCCTATTAATAGAAACAAATTGTTATCGCACAGCAGAAACCTGTGTAGATTTTATTCACATTCAGAATTAGGAGCAAATCTCTCTATTAATGGGTAGCTGCTAAATGTGCCCAAGGGAGCAAGGAAGCTCAATTAGGCCTTGAAGTGTCTTTCACAGCCAACCACATTCGTAGCTGGGAAATATTCCAAACAGCCAGCAGTGCAGTTGCAAGGATCCAGATTGCAGTAGTGAACAGTATATATTCTAGGGCTTGTAAATTAGCTTCTAAACACATCTTCTGGAGAAGGAACAGGTACAAAGCAGAACTATATATTTATTGGACTACTTACTTGCAATTAGACTTTTCAATAAGGGGCATTTGTGAGGTTGCAAATGTACATATGCACTTCAGATGCATACTACTAGATGTGGACATGCAAATCCTCAATTGTGCATCTGATTGTGCATGTACAAAGTTAGCCCATTGATAACCAGGCCCTCTAATGCTTTATTAATCAGAAATACTTGTAATCCAGTGGGTATATCTACATGTCATACTGGAGGTATAAATTTCAGCTTGAAGAAACATAATTGGGCTCTCTGTGATATAATCACTGCACTAAAAATAGGGTAGTATTATGATAGTGAGCTGCACAGGGTCTAGCTACCCTGAATATCTACTTGTCTAAGAGCTAATATGGGTATGACTTCGAAATTTACATCTCCAGTTTGAAGGGTAGACCTACTCAGTGACATATGGATATTTTAGCACTAGAGACAGTTTCTTCATATAATTGCCTGTAGGTTGAACCAAACCTGGAACCTCCGGAGATTAGCATAGGAGCCTCTACAGCTAAAGCTTTAGAGCTCACTCTTTCTTATTTCCCAATCTAAGTAGTCTAAGTGCCACTACCAGGGACAGTGAACCACATCTTATAGGTGTGTGGGTTACATTCACGCATCAGAACTAATAAGAAATATTTGTAATAAAGATATGAAGCAAAATTTGGCAAATTGTGACAGGCTGTATTATGTCAAATAGCAACACACTGTATATGCGTCTGTGTGTCAGAAAGTTAAAGTTGCTTTTTTCTGTTCTCAAACATGAATACAATTAGGCAATGACTGAATAATCTTGGAAAACAGTTGTTTTGTCAGCGCAAACATAATTGACGATTGAAAGCAAACAGCAGATGTAATGCTGCTAGTGTAGTTTAAGTAAACATTATATCCATTGAAGCACCATCAACAGCAGGTGGCAGAATAAGTCAGTAGTGAAATGACATTCACTCATCAACTGCTGTGTAATTGTGCATCTCATGCAGAATTTGGATAGGAAATCATAAAATTTGTGACAAAATTATTTGTAATGGCTCATCTGTCAGCACAGAGACATTAGATAGAGAACCATGAAGGAAACTTCATCTCATTATGCTTCCTGTGGCCTCCGTATACTTCTCATACTAAACTCCACAGACCAGAACAATGCAAAAGAGATGAAGTGAAGAAGTCACAGTATAAAGTACTACTGCAGACTTCACCCTGCTGTAGAATGAAATAGGCCAAATTCTATGCTCTCACAAAATTTGTCCCGAAAATTTTGAATCGCTAATTTAAAATTTTGAATCGCAGATTCCTTCTATAAATCTGAAAGTACAGGACTAGTCTAAGGTGAAATTCACTCATGCTGAGAGCCAACATAAGGGCTATGAACTACTTAAAGCCTCCAAAATAGACTGAACTGACACACAGAATTTGTGCTGGCCCTCTCACATAGGTGACTTTCATCCCTCTGTATTGGTTGATAATGATGTGGTACTATATGACAACTCAAGATGGAAATGGGAACAACTGTAAAGAGAGAGGAGATTTTGTTTTGCTGAGGATTTTGATATTTCAAAATGTATTGCAAAAAGAAGTGCAGCTCTGGCTCCAGAGCAGTCTTAAATTATGGGCCCTGGAAGTTTTGGTATCCCTGGCTTGGACTACAAATTGCCAAGGAACAACAAGCCTGGGAAGTCATCTCTCAGGGCTGCCAGGTGAATGGGTACCTATCAGCCCAGCTGATATACTGAAGGGGCCCTGGGAGCCCTAGCTGAGTCAGCAGTCAAAGTTTCCGGTTCCTGACTCATTACTAGCTCATCTGGTACACGGCCCAGGAGCCGGGTGGACAAGTTGACAAAAAGACAAACAGGGTTCTACTGAAACTTTGTCAAAATAGAACTATCTCCACAAAAATGTTTTGATTTTGACCAACTGGCATTCTCTGACAGAAAACCCTGCCATCAGAGAATCTGTGACCAGCTGTAGTGGAAAGATTCAAACAGGAAGAGGTGAAGAACATGCCTGGATACTACAGAAAACGGACACTGGGACCCCATTCTGGTAGAATGGAAAATAAATGCAAATAAGATTAATAAAAAGTTATTCCCCATGCAAGAGTGAGTGTGATTTTCCATATCTTTGCCCAAAAGCAGTGTGAAGTCTCATCTGTTTAAGATGGAGCTGGGGACTTTGGGCCAGAAAGTGCTGGACAGCTGGCATCCTTAGTAAAATCTTAAAAAACAACGAATAGTCTAGCAGCACCTTAAAGGTTAACAAAACATGTAGATGGTGGTATGAGATTTTGTGGGTACCACCCACTTCTTCAGGTGACTGGAGTATCAAAAGTCAAGATCCAAGATTATGGGGGAGGGAGGAGGAAGGAGGAAAAGGAAAAAAGAGGAAAAAATAGTGAATTGGATTGTTTAAGGTACAAGAGACTGATAAGAACAATTTGCACCTCTATAAATGCCCTTTGGTTGGTTGGTTGGTTGGTTGGTTGGTAAAGTCGTTAGGATTTGGAGGTAATGTGCGAGGCAGCCGATATCTTCATTCATTTCTCTCTGGTAAGAAACAAACTTATAAATGAAGTTAAGTTCCAACCCTTCCCTTTGTATTTGGCTTGTGGAATTGGCCTGAAACAACACTCTGACTTTGAGATCCACTAATGAGTGCCCGGGCGGGTTAAAGTGTTCTCCAACATGTTTCCTTAGTTAAAGCACCTTATTAAGTATCCTAGGTGAGATTGTGGTGTGTTCTTTTTGATGCATAATTGTTCTAGTGGTGTGGTGTGTGTATGACTTTGGCTGGAGGAGAAAATGTAAGCACAGGTGCCTTAACTTCTCATGCACTTATGGTTTCGGGTGAGGTATGTCATGTATAGACCAAACTTAACTAACAGAGAGTAGTTGGTTTTGCATGTTTACAGATGCAAGCATCATGTGTTACACATATACAGCATGTGCATATAGAGCAGATACAGATACCAATGCAGGAAAAAAGATCTGTGAATATTCAGTGAAATGTGTGGGTTTTTTAATGAACTCATCTGATAGGAATAAGTAAGATGAAAGGAAAACAGGGGCATTTAATGTACATTAGTTCATGTAGTTATTGAGCTAGTTGTTAGAACAGCAGTGTGACTGTGACATGGCAGGAAGAGCATTTATGGTTTCAGGATTGCTTCAGAAACCTTTACTGAAAATGATATATATATGAGAGAGAGAGAGAGAGAGAGAATATGCAAAATGCTTAAAACACACACCTTCTTTTCCAACCTGTCAATCAGCTTCTGGAGTCTGTTTATCTGGGTCATCCACTGGTTGTCTTCCTCTAACCAACCTTTGAGAAACATAAATAAGGATAACTTGTTACTGAAAGCTGGGTTATAACATATTTATTTTTATGTTATATATTTAAGAATGTTTTGTTAGTCTGTGACTTATTTTGCATCTTGAAAAAAAGGCTGGTATGTATTTGATTGTCAACATTTCTTTGTGTAACTGACAATTACAGGAAAAATTGTTTGATTTCCTAAAACACATGATTTTTCAAAGGATACAATAGAAATTACAGAACTTTTTTTTATTTTTAAACTGAATTCTATGTTTACTCCAGTAGTTTGAAACTCTGTTGGGCGTTGTATGGAATTGCTTGTCTTGAGAAATGAGTCCAAACACTAATCTACGTTTACATCAGAGTGCAAGCTGCACCTTTTTTCTTGTTGAAGTCTTCCCACAATAGTGTTTCCATTACTTCTGGACTACGTCTACACTGGCACGATTTTCCGAAAATGCTTTTAACGGAAAACTTTTCCGTTAAAAGCATTTTCGGAAAAGCGCGTCCAGATTGGCAGAATGCTTTTCCGCAAAAGCTCTTTTTGCGGAAAAGCGTCCATGGCCAATCTAGACGCGCTTTTCTGCAAAAAAGCCCCGATCGCCATTTTCGTGATCGGGGCTTTTTTGCAGAAAAGCGCGTCTAGATTGGCCATGGACGCTTTTCCGCCAAAAGTGCTTTTGCGGAAATTCAAGCGGCTAGTGTAGACAGCTGGCAAGTTTTTCCGGAAAAGCTGTTGATTTTCTGGAAAACCTTGCCAGTCTAGACACAGCCATAGTGAATCAATGACAGGGAAAAAAGAAGACAAGAAGAAGAGCATAAAACACACACAAGTTTGCATACATAGAGAGGTGGAGACTTGGCCCTTTCATTTTGTTTAGCTCTTCAGTAACACAATAGTTGCCAATTCTTAACAAAAATGATGTCTTATGGATCATCTTTGTTCCCGTTTGCTGTCACATGGACAATCTCTCCTCCCATATGATCATATAACTTCCCTGTGTCTTTTTAACTTTATCTTTCTGTATGTCTGTTTGTTTGTCTCTGTTCCCTAGTTAGGGGACATGCATCCTTCCCCCAACTGTGCCCGCTGCAGCAGCCATGGAGAAGCGCTTTTCACTTGGTCCCAACCAGTTGCAGTGAGAGGGCGCTGGGGTAATCCTCTCTCCCCCCCATGCAGCCTTGCATACTGAACCTCTCATCTCCAGCCCCACCCAAGGGCAATGATTTAAAAGAAGCATGTACATTTTCATTTTATTTTTCAAAAAACAAAAATTAATGAGTTAAAAACCTGAGCAATGCTAGGTAAATCTTCTAGTTAGTTATATTTATGGGGCAGCAAAGAAGGAAAAATGGGATTATAGCATATTGAGAGAGAATCTAAGAAACTGTTTTGTGATGCATGCATTATCTACTAAGATTAAATATCATATCTGATGTTAGAAGTAAAAGGGAGGAGGAGAAAAAAGCAGGAATTATAGCAGGAGGCAGTGCCAGAATCTCCTAGGTCATTATGAAGATAGTGAAAAAGTCCATTTTGCCTTAGAAAGAAGAACCCATGAAAAAGTGCTAACCAAACAGGAATTCTGGAAACAGAAGAGGCTTGTCTAGCAAATTGCATTAGACTTGCTGTCTGCAGAAAATGCTTTATTCGTTCTTTAAAATTGCACAGCAATTAAAAGTGGTGTACTACAATTTTCCAACTGAATGCTGTGATTTGGAAATGTAACATCATTACATGCCACCTTATTCTGAAAAAGTGATCTAAGCCTAAAATCCATTGAATCATGGCAGGGCAGATGGGCTAACAATGTGAACATTTAATTTTATTGGATAGAGGACACAGCAGAAAGCCTTTACATTAGGGACTCTACACTAATTTTGTGAACCGTAAAAGGTGCTCCACAAGAGAATGCATAGGGGGAGGTAGATACATCACTTGCACGCAAATGGGTTGAATTGCAAGGCCAAGAACCCAGGAGGGGAGAAATGGGCTCTGTCAATCCCTTGCCGTTATGCTTTGCAGTGTCTCTATTGCATGGATATCATGGCCCTGAGATCTATATTGAGGCTGCGGATTTCTATCTTGCACCCTTCTGGGTTAGTGACCATTCCAAAATTTCTCTTTAGCTTTCAAGGCTTCTTTTTCCTAAGGCAAAATTGTCATTTTTAATTCTTCATATCAACCTAAGAAACGCCTGCTCTGCCTCAAGCTAATATCCTTATTTTCCCCCCTCCCTCTTTCTCTCTTATAAACATGCCAGCTGCCCTCAATAATGATATATGATCACCCTCTGAGTAATGCAGGCAACATAAACTTGTTTCTTGGTGTTTCTTTTCCCTCTGCATTATTATTCCATCTTTTGCATCACCACTACCTATAAATCTAGCTACAAAATATAGACTGTTCTCTGTCCATAGCACAAAGACAATGACCCTTCATGTTGGTAAAACAGGCGTAATTCAGGACTATTTATTTGTTCTGCTTCTACAATTAGAGCTAATGGCTGCTGTATTAAATTGAAGAGTGCTTTCTTCTATAAAAGTACTTACGTTGATTTGTACTTGCAGTTTAATATTTTGAGGACTAGTATATGGCTGCCTTACTTATGTGTGTGTGTTAAACACGTTTAAAAGCTGAAATGTCAATACCTGTATTAAAATGAGGACTGTTTGGTGATAAGCTGTTGTTCCTCTGAAATCTTCGAGTTGAACGTTTTCCTGGCCATTGAATTGAGAGCACCTCTGGCTTTGCTGGTCCTTGTCTAAATAGAAACAGATAATAGTAAATCCATGTGCTAAAGCCTCTGTCTTCCTTCTGCAGTCAGAATGCTGACTAAAAGTGGGGGGGAGGGGAGGATGCTGTTGAGAGTGAGTGATTTTTCTAGGCTTTTACTGCTGAAGTTAGCTGTGTCCATATCAATATTCACTAAGAAGGAAACAATGGACATGTAGTACCTCATAAATATCACATAGGGATATAAAAACTTGTGGCATGTCTGTACTGTTGTCATGATCTTGCTTTGGGAACCACTAACACAGACCCTTGCATTTGAGCTGAGCCCCAGTGATTTCAATTGATCCCCATAAAGGCACTGGTGTCATGCAGTCCGTTACAAAAGAGGTATCCAACTTTAATGTGTTCACTTGAGAAGGTAAAATTTATTTTTAAAAAACATAAGTAACATTGTGAAAGAATTTTAATCTGGGATTTAGGATGCAGAAAGGACCAGGAATGACTAACACAGAGTGAGGGTTGGTACTAGGGATGTTAAATATCCATTAATTGAATAGTCGATTAACCTCATGAATTCTTATCAGTTACTTGACTATTCTATAGTACCTGGGGGTGGAGCCAGCAGTCAGTGTGCTCTGGCCCCACTCCCGAGAAGCCCTCTGCCACTCAGCGCTGCTGGGGTGCCAGACAGGAGCTGGTCCACAAGGTGATCCAGTTTAAAAACCAGCTCCCTTCGTGGACGGGCTGCCTTTCAGCCTGCACTGCTGCTTCTGCGTGGCAGCAGCCCCTGTCCAGGCAAGGTCTGAGCTCCCAGACCTGGTGCGAGCCGGGACTGAGCCATCCTGCCTGCCTAACTCCTAATACACTTTAAATGCAGAGCTGCAGCAGGATTAGGACCTAGACCAGTGTTTCTCAACCTTTTTTATAAAATACCCTTAAAAAAAAAGTTAAGTACCCCCGTACCTGCAATTTTCAGACATACAACATTTTTTTCTACGGTTGCAACACATTTTTTTAAATAACGTAATTGTAGCTGGGCGGGCGATATAATTTTTACACCCAAAAATTTCAAAAATTATAAAGTGCTGTAAAAAAACACAAATTCAGTTTTTTCTCTAAATTTCAGTTGTGTTAACATACCAGACTTCTCTCAAGTACCCCTAAGGGTACTCGTACCACTGGATGAGAAACACTGTCCTAGACCCATTCCAAGCCAGGACTGAGCTGGGCTGCTGGCCAGCCTGCTAAAAATTTTACTGGTAGGGAGAGGAGGGAAAATGTGTGTAGTCTTATAGCATTAACTGATAAGCTTTTGCTTATCGGTTAATCGACTACACTATTATATCCCTAGTTGGTACATTAGTGAGAAGAGCTGTATTGAAGTATTTCATTTAAATAAAATATTTAATGCCATGGTTGTAGTGAGGATGGGTGGTCAAATTGTTTGTTTCAAATAATGTAAGATAGGAATGTAGCCATCTCATATAGATTAGTGAATTACTCTCAGACCAATTCTGATTTACATTCATTATTTGTAAGTATTCTCCAAACCACTTGCTGAATACATTTCAACTGAGCTATATCTCTCTCCACTGTTTGTGACTTGGCAGATGCAATAGTAGAGGCAAAGACACTTTAGGCTTATCTACACTCTGTGACAGACTGCTGGCTAAGCTAGAGCTCTGCCACTGTAGCCTGGCTGATTGTAGACAGATGAATAAGCCCAGGCCTGATGGGCTAATGGAAACAGCTGTGGGCCTCATTAGCCAGAGTGCTACATAAGGCAGAGGAAGGAGGTCAGAAGGGGAGAAAAGGGTCAGGGTATGGCTGTGTGTGCTCCCAGGCAGAAGGTGAAGGAAAGGTTTGCTGACCTGTAAAGACTCTGTATATAGAAGGTGGTGGGAAACTGACAATAAAGGCATGGGTAACTGCACCAAGAAGAGGGTCTCCTGGTGATTTGTGGACCAGAAGGCATCCCAGGGAAAGGGCCTAAGCAAGGACCTGGTCACAACTTTTTCAAGCAATAAAAAAAAAAAAAAAAAAATTCACTACTTGGACTTCACTACTGCTATTGATATTACATGGAAGGCACTCAGGTACTATGGTAATAGGTGGTGGTGTCTCTTTTGCTCTTTACTCAACAAACATAATAGGAAGGAACCACATGGGCACAATGGGGACCAAGTAAGTATGTTTACTAACTATATATTACATGCAAAGCCTATGTATTCATACTGCTCATGCTAGGGGAAAATGCTCCCTTTATATATTGCTTCCCAACAATGGGCAGCCACTTAGCTAGCAGAGCAGCAGCAGGTGGAGCGGGAACAATGCTGCAGGTGTCATGCTGTTAAGAGAGCAGAGAAGGGACACCGTCTCCTTTATCATCTTCCCTTATCTCCTTGTGGTCACGGCCCTTCTGTGTATGCCTGACTGTAGCACCTCCTGGCCATGGTGCCCTAAGTGGTCACACACATCACCCACTCTTAAGGCTGGCCCTCACAGTGTTGCTCTGGAAGCACTCTGGTGGCTTCTACAAAACAGAAGACAATGAGGACTAGTAGAGGATTTGCAGCCTATCTAAAGGGATACTACTCAATTCCTATCCACTATCGGCAGCAGTATAACCCTCCCCATCCCTGAGAGAGATAATCAAATCAGTTCAATCTCCTGATTAAACGCTCTTAAATCAGTTTAGGAGAGTTTTATATTGGAGTCACTGTAATCAATTTAAGCTAAACCAATTTATGAAACGTTCACTACTGTAAAGAGTTCACACTAGAAGGTTATACCTATTTGTCTGAATTCACTTTAGTTGAATTGTTTCAAAAGCTGTGTATAGGCCAAAGCTTTGTCTCTTGCACAGCTACATCATAAGTCTTTAAAGATGGAGCAAGTAATTAAGGAAATCATCTGTAAACACTTGAAAAGTGGCAAGGTGATAAGGAACAGCCAGCATGGATTTGTAAAGAACAAATCATGTCAAACCAATCTGATAGCTTTCTTTAATAGGATAACGAGTCTTGTGGATAAGGGAGAAGTGGTGGATGTGGTATACCTAGACTTTAGTAAGGCGTTTGATACGGTCTCGCATGATATTCTTATCAATAAACTAGGTAAATACAACTTAGATGGGGCTACTATAAGGTGGGTGCTTAACTGGCTGGAAAACCGTACTCGGAGGGTAGTTATTAATGGTTCACAATCCTGCTGGAAAGACATAACAAGTGGGATTCCGCAGGGGGTCTGTTTTGGGACTGGCTCTGTTAAATATCTTCATCAACGATTTAGATATTGGTATAGAAAGTACGCTTATTAAGTTTGCAGATGATACCAAGCTGGGAGGGGTTGCGACTAATCTGGAGGATAGGGTCATAATTCAAAATGACGTGGACAAATTGGAAAAATGGTCTGAGGTAAATAGGATGAAGTTTAATAAAGACAAATGCAAAGTACTCCACTTAGGAAGGAACAATCAGTTTCATACATACAGAATGGGAAGCGTACTCTAGGAAGGAGTACGGCAGAAAGGGATCTAGGGGCTACAGTGGACTACAACTTGATTATGAGTAGCAGTATGATGCTGTTGCAAAGAAAGCAAACATGATTCTGGGCTGCATTAACACGTGCGTTGTGGGCAAGACATGAGAAGTCATTCTTCTGCTCTACTCTGTGCTGGTTAGGCCTCAATTGGAGTTTGATCTGTGTTCAGATCTGGGCACCGCATTTCAAGAAAGATGTGGAGAAATTGGAGAGGGTTTAGAGAAGAGCAACGAGAATGATTAAAGGTCTTGAGAACTTGACCTATGAGGGAAGGCTGAAAGAATTAGGTTTCTTTAGTTTAGAAAAGAGAAGGTTGAGGGGGGACATGATAGCTGTTTTCAAGTATCTAAAAGAGAGTCATAAGGAGGAGGGAGAAAACTTGTTCATCTTGGCATCTGGGGATAGAACAAGAAGCAATGGGCTTAAACTGCAGCAAGGGAGGCTTAGGTTGAACATTAGGGAAAAGTTCCTAACTGTCAGGGTAGTCAAACACTGGAATAAATTGCCCAGGGAAGTTGTGGAATCTCCATCTGTGGAGATATTTAAGAGTATGTTAGATAAATTTCTATCCGGGATAGTCTATAGACAGTATTTGGTCCTGCCATGAGGACCTCTCGAGGTCCCTTTCAGTCCTAGTATTCTATGATTCTAAGATGCATGTGGACTGGGACTTCTGTCACCAACTCTTTAGCCATTTTCCATTTCTTTTCATCTCATGTCACAGTGACCTGTGAGAAGGGAACAAACGAATGACCATACTGGGTCACACCAATGGTCCATATAGCCCAGCATCCTGTTTTCTGACAGTGAAAAATTACAGGTGCTTTATTGGGAAAAGAGAGTTACATGTTCCGTAAAAGATATTCTTTGAGACATATCGCTTGTGTCCGTTCCCAAATAGGTACCAGTCTGGCATGGTATAAGGGGCAATGCACCCATCCCACACTGGTTCATTCTTGCTGGAAACTCCCAACAGTGGGGAAGAAGGGCAGGTTGTAAAATGGACCTGAGCTACATGTCTTGCATAACAGGTGTTCTTTTAGTCTTCATTTGCTTTCTCATGGCCAGTCCAGTAGTATCCATATGGAGGAGGGTAGGAGTCCAGAACGGGAAGGATTCAGGATTGCTCTGCCAAACCCAGCATTGTCTCTAGTCTGAGACATGATGGTTAAGTGACCTATGAATATGTACCGGGTTGATCTTGTAGCTGCCCTACAGATTGGAACTTGGACCAGGAATGCTGCTGACAAGGCTTGCACCCTCATCGAGTGAGTGTGCACAATTTGTGGTGGGGAAACGCCAGCCAGGTCATAGCAAGCACGGATACACAAAGTGATCCAGTTAGAGATCTGCTGGACAGAAACTGGCTGGCCCCTTATGCATTCGGCCATGGCAGTGAACAGCTGAGCAGACTTTTGGAACAGTCTAATTCTGTCCAGATAGAAAGCCAGGGCCATTGCACATACAGTGAGTGAAAATGCCTCTCATTAGAGGAGTGGTTAGAGGAGTGGGGCTTGGGACAGAGAACTGGCAGGAAAATGTCCTGGTTCAAATGGAAACCTATCACAATCTTCAGAAGGAAAGCTGGATGAGGGTAGAGCTGGTTCTGGAAGACCATATATAGTGGCTTCGAGATCTGGGCTTGAAGCTCTGAAATGCACTTTATTGCCATGAGGAAGGCAACCTTCCAGGATAAGTGTGACCAGGAGCATGTGGCCAGCAGTTCAAACAGGGGGCCTGTGAGTCTAGATAGGACTAGGTTAACCCACAGCAGAACCAGAGATCTGACCTATGGAAAAATAGATTCCAGCCCCTTGAGGAACCTGCCCATCATCTCTTGAGAGAATACCATGTGCCTTTGCACTGGGGGATGAAATATGGCAATGGTGGCTAGATGCATCTTGAGTGAAGGAAATGCCAACCCTTTGTCCTTCAGATGAAGCAGGTATTCCAGGATTGATTGGATCAGGGCCTCCATTGGAGAGATGCCACAATCCACTGCCTTCTATGCAAATCTTGCCCATTTTGCCATGTAGTTGTGCTGGGTCAAGGGTTTCCCATTCTTCCTATACTTGACACCCTGCAAACAGGACTTTTCCTGTGGGTTCAATCACACAGCACCATATGATGAGGTGCAGGGATTCAAGGTTGGGATGGAGGAGACAGCTGTGGTTCTGCAACAGGAAGCCTAGTCAGATGGCAGTGCTAATGTGGGGGGGAGGGGAAGGGGATCACTGCTAGACTGGACAGCATCCTAAACTAATGCTGTTGGACCTATGCCAGATCTATCATGATGATATGGGCCCTATCCTTGATTTTCTGCAGGACCTTGCTGATGAGTGGGAATGGGGGAAACACATAAAGCAGGCCCTCTGTTCAGGGCAGGAGGAAAGTGTCCAAGAATGAGCTTGTACCCAGGCCCCATCTGGGGCAGAGGTGATTCTGCCTGATAGCAAACTAGTCCACCCTGGAAGTAGGCCACTTCTGAGTGGAGCATCAACCCATGGTGAGAAGAGAAGTCCTTTCTCAATCAATCTGCAGTGAAGTTCAGCATGCCTGGAAGACAATGAGCCTCTAAATCAACGTTGTGTTTGATGCAGAAGTCCCATAGCGTGAAGGCTTCCCAAAAGAGAGCAGTGGTTTCACCTTGCCATAACACGCAGAGCCATGCTGTCCATGAAGACTTGCCTTACAGATGAGATGTACTGCTCTGAGCTCTTTGCCATTGATGTTCAGGCTCATCTTGTCTGTGGAATCTCATATCTTAGATCTTGGTGTCCCCCCAGATGGACCCCTCCCCCAGCTAAGATCTGATATGAGCTTGACCATGGGAGGGCAGTCTGGAGTGGGATCCCAAGCAGTATGTTTTCCACATCTTCAGGAAGCTCATGTAGAGCCTGGTGTGTTGAACAAAGTAAGTACATACTGCCATGTACCCCCAAGAGGTGTAGACCTGCTTTGGCCATCACTATCAGGAACTGAGAGACATCCCTGATAAAAGCCCCCGTATTCTGGAATCTGTCTCATGGGAGGGAGGTCCTGGTGTTCTTAGCATCCAGTACCACCCCTATAAACTATATTTTCTAAACAAAAACTAATGTGGACTTTTTCTTATTCACTAGGAGGCCCAGGGCTCTGCACATGGACAGCAGAAGGGCAATATGACCCCAAATGTGGAACCTGGAGCCAGGGGTCAAAGTAATTTAAATTTCTTCTTCGAGTGATTGCTCATGTGCATTCCACAGGTGTGCGTGCGCAGCATGCGTGCGTCGTCAGAGATTTTTCCCTCGGCAGTACCTGTTAGGCCAGCAGGAAGCCCCCTGGAGTGGCGCTAGTATACTGGCGATACATACCCCTGCTGGTCCTCCCCACATTCAGTTCCTCCTTACTGCCATGACGGTCGTTGGAACAACCCTCAGCTCCTTCTAAAGCAATCACTGCTTAAGTAGTGATAGAAATGTAGCCGTGTTAGTCTGGTGTAGCTACATACTGCTTAAGTAGTTCTTTGTTGCCTGTTATCAGTTAATCACCGTTAAGTAGTTGTAATGTTTCTTGAGTTAAATAAAGGACAAAATGAAACTAACTTTTTACATACCATTTATGATTGTATAGCCCTCTATAATATTCCCCTTAGTCATCTCTTTTCCAATCTGAAAAGTCCCAGTCTTTTTAACCTTTCCACCGATGGAAGTTGTTCCATATTGTTAATAATGTTTGTTGCCCTTCTCTGTACCTTTCCCAATTTTAATATCTTTTATTATTATTATTATTTTATTTTGAAGATGTGGTGACCAGAATTGCATTCAATTCAAGGTGTGGGTGCACTATGGATTTATATAGTGACATTATGATATATAAGTAAGTATTAGAGGGGTAGCCATGTTAGTCTGAATCGGAATAAACAATGAGAAGTCCTGTGGCACCTTATAGACTAACAGATTTATTGGAGCATAAGCTTTCGTGGGCAATCTGTTAGTCTATAATGTGCCATAGGACTTCTCGTTGTTTATTATGATATATAGTGGCACAATGGTTTTATATAGGGCATTTAGAAACAGCTGTAGCTCAAGTCTTAGGGTGTGTCTACGTAGCACCCTAAACTCAAAATAAGATAAGCTATTTGCGCTATGCACATTTCAAAATAACACGCTATTTTGAGCCATCCTTTATCCCTTGTGCAATGAGGTTTACTGAGATGGTGAAATAGCTCACCCGTTATTGGAAACATATTTCGAAATAACAGGTGACTTGCATAGACATGGGGTAGCTATTTTGGGATATCTCTGGTATCCTGAAATAGCCATGCACCCTTAGACAAAAAGCTCCATATTGCTCCACCAGACTATCAACAAAGAAGGGAGTTGGTAACCAAATACTCCCCCTTAGACCCACTGGAAACTTATTTGGTGCCATTAATGATTGGGCAAACCAATAGCACAGGTGGTTTTCCTTCGCCCCCGTAGAAAAGAGTGCCCTAAGTTCAAACTGAAAATAGTTAATAAAAATCACATTGCTTATATTTTGATGTAAAGATATGGAAGCGAAAGGAAATATCCAGCTCTCTCGACTTTTCCTTTATTATGTATAAAGATGGTCTTAAACAGGAGAAAACTTTTATTTTTACATTTGAAATATCAAAGCACTCTACCCCCCTTTCTCTTAGTGTTAGACTATGTGAAAATCAGCATTCCTAGACCCCTTAATTATTCTGGGAAGAAGATCTGTAGTTCAGGTAATTCCCCTCTGTCACATTTTTATTCAGGTATCAGCAATGCCAGTGTCCAACAGCAGAGCAAGCAAGGACCTACCTGGCATTTCTAATTTAAAAATAATTAGAAACAGTGTTTATCCATCAAAGCGGCATTAAGGGGCAAAGCCAGCAACTTTTTTTTTGCTTTGCTATTCAAGTTGAAAGGTCACCAAGAATATTTTAGATAACACTTTATGACCAGCTTAGGAATGGATTCACAGACAGGAACTGTGATTGTGGAACAAAGGAAAAGCTAGACAGCCCCCAAATCTATTTTCAAATACATTGAACTCTTTTTTTTTTTTTAAATACCTGATCCTGCAAATTTTCTGCATATGGGTGGTGTGACATTGAATTCAGTGGAACTACTCACATGAATAAACACTGCTTGTGCCACTAAACATTTATAGGATTGTGCCTTAAACTTGAGACCCTGATTCTGCAAACACACATATATGCCTTGATGTACATTGGGCCTAAGAGAAAACAAAATCTGTGTTTGGTGGGAAAGTATACATTTGTAGTATATGTTAAAAAGCCAACCTTCCCCTGCCAGATTAGATTGTTTTACAGTTGTAGATCTAAGTACAGCTGAGCTTGATGCATGCCAGGAATAGACAACTATCTATATTTGCATAAACCCACCACAGGCAGTATGTAATGATAATAATGGACCTTTAGAATAGATCAATTTAGAAGGTTGAGCTAGTACAAAAATACGGTGCCCACTAGTTAAAGGAGTGCATCAAAAAGATACCCTCTAACAACAATACTGTGAGAACTATATTGGATCCTGATATACACCCAATTGGGGAAAATATTTAGCTTACCTTTCCTGACGAGTTTGTTCCTCTGTGGTTTCCATGGCACACTCTAGGGAGTTCTGGAGAGACTGTAGCTGATTCAGTGTTTCTTTCAGTAAGAAACGAGTCACAAACTGTTCCAATTTAGAGGCTTTCTGATAGTCCTAAAAATTATGCATAGTATTGTTGGGAATTAGCCTAATACATTAAGTAGAAGGCATGTGGTGAAACACAGGGGCTGGTTATGTTTGCAAAACCTTTAGTGGTGTAGCAGAAAGAACAGTTAAACAATACATACAGCCAATTTAAACACACTTTATTAAAAACCAATGGCCCCAATTCTGCTGTATCTCATGGGCCCCTCTTGGGAACTTCATTAACTTCCAGAGGTCTCCACGTTGTGGAGCTCATTGTAGGACTGGAGCCTGTATATGCAACATTGAACAACTGTCGTTCTACCTTTTCATTGAAAATTGATTTAGAGACCTGACAGGGCCACAAACTGCTTCTGAAATGGCTAGAATTTCCTCAGGCTAATGGTTTTCAAAATACTGGGTCATGGAATAGATTGCCATGAAAACTCAGGACCAGGATTCACAAAAGGACTTAAGCGCCTAATAGCCATTTTAGGTGTTTAAATCCCAGCATCAGGCCATACTAGGTGTCACAAAATCTCCATTCAGGTGCTGTCAAATCCTATAGGTGTTTAAACTGGCTCCATACCTGAATATTTGCAGTAGAATTTCCTCAGGCTAGTGGTTTTCAAAATACTGGGTCATGGAATGTGAGGCACCTGATTGCTTTTCCGTAGGGTGACATGGGAAGGTGCTAAACCAGGCTTCATGCGTGTCCTGGCAACTGCAGACTGCAAGCAGCAGGTCCAACTCCTAGTCAGGGGAGACACCCCAAGCACTGGCTGTGCATTCACATTGGCCTGGGAGGGGTGGTGCCTGCTGGTCAGAGTAGTATGCAAAGCTGCTTGTGTGCTTCCGCCGAGGAGCTAGATCTACTGCTGGCCACTTCCAGAGCACAGCACAGTCTCTGGTACCAAGATGAGCAGCAAGCTTGCTTTAACAACCCCGCTATGCTGCTGAGCTGCTGGAGGTAAGCCTACAACCCACTCCCATGTCCCAGCTCCCCCCCCACCCAATCCAGAGCCCCTTCTGCATCCCAAAACTCTCATCCCCAGCCCCACAGTGGAGCCTGCACTCTAATAAAAAGATATTATAATGTTGGATCACTGGCACATCAACAATTTCCTTCAACTGTGTTAGGTGAAAAAAAGTTTGAAAACCACTGTCTTAGGTGCCTATGTTTCTGCTTCGGAGCATGCCCACATGCTCAGGGTTTAGCTGATCGCCATATTTGGGGTCGGGAAGGAATTTTCCTCCAGGGTAGATTTGGCAGAGGCCCTGGCGGTTTTTCGCCTTCCTCTGTAGCATGGGGTACAGATCACAGCTAGAGGATCTCTGCATCTTGGGGTCTTCAAAGTATTTGAAGGCTTCAATATCTGAGATATAGGTGAGAGGATTATTCTAAGAGGGGTGGGTGAGATTTTGTGGCCTGCACTGTGCAGGGGGTCAGACTAGATGATCATAATGGTCCCTTCTGACCTTGGAGTCTATGAGTCTATGTTCACTACAGCCCTATGCCAGACAGCCAAGCCCTAGCATTATATATGAACTGCCAGAAGACAGGCATTCCTCCACGTAACTCACCTATGCAGCCTGATCTGATAAGTCTGGTCTCAGGTCACCTACCAAATCGGGTCCTTACAAGTGAGCTTGCTCAGAATGGCTGGTGAGAGCAAACAGCCTGATAACTGTTAGCTCTGTGGTTAGAGTACTCACCTGAGATGTGGGCAAGCCTCTTTTGCAGTCCCTTAGTGGAGGGGATTTAAACTAACCCCTAGACTAGGGAGGGCATTTTGATGTAGGATTCTGTCTGCCTCTCCTATTTTAGCTTTTACACTGTGGCTAAATAATTTTTTAAAATATAATTAGAGCAGGGGGAACTGGATCCTGGGTCTCCCCCCTGAATGCACTAATCACCAGGATACAGAGCCACTGGCTCTCCTCCATCCCATCCAATAATTTCAATATTTAGCCACAATGGAACAGCTTCATGGGGCTACATCTACACTGCAGGCTTCTTGCACAAGAACCTTTTTGCGGAAGAGATCTTCCGCAAAAAGTTATTGCTCAAGAGCGCATCCACACTGCCATGTGCTTTTGCACAAGAGAGCATCCACACTGATGTGGATGCTGTTGTACAAGAAAGCTCTGATTGCCATTCTGTGACAGGCAGTCTGAGCACCTGTGCTTTTTCTGATAGGGGTTTCTTTACGCAAGAAACCTCTGTTGTCTGTCCACACATGCCTTTTTACACAAGAGCTCTTGCGCAAAAAGGCTTATTGCTCATAGAAAGAGGACTAACTCTTGAGTAAAAGCCCTGTCTTCTGACAATCTACTGTACTTTTTCTTGCGCAAAAATGCACTTTTAGTGTGGACACTCCGACCATTTTTGCACAAAAACTCTACAGTGTAGACATAGCCTTGGAAAGACTGATGAAGTCTCATGTCAGTCTCTGCAGTAGCTTAGTCAGTGGGCTGTTATCTTGAGAGGGGGCAACTGTCCAAATCCTCATTGGTTAGTGGGGCCTTAAATCAGGGGCTGCCCATATCCCAGGTGAGTGCCTTAGTCATTGGGATTAAAGTTATGAATTCTCTTTGCAAATACCATGTCAGTGCCTAACTCCAATAGAGCCTTTGTTGCTGAGAGAAACAGGCTGAGGGAGCTGTCTTTTTGTACATACTCCTGTCTCCCAGAGATCAGTGGTATAAGAAAGAAATCGCTTTAGCATCTCTCATTGGCTAGTTTAGGCAGCTCTCTGCCTAGAATGCTGGCCTTTTGAATTGCAGTCCAAGGAACTTTTCTTTCCCCAATCATTATATAAGGAACCAAGGTGTCTAACTCAGACTTTGGGAATCCCAGTGATTTTCTACATGTCTGTAGGTTAGGGGATGGTGATGCTGGGTGCTGGCATGCCTGAATAGCCCTCACATTCCACCCCTTCCCTCAGCTGTCCTCTATTTCTTTCATATCCAGAGGGTCCCTTATCTTTGTCCTCCTCATGAATATTTCCCTTCCTATGCATTTATTATTGACAGAATATCACATCATAAGATGTTCTTGTATATTGGTCTTTCAGCTGGTTGTTAATAATGCTAGGTCTGTGCAAGTATGCTGTAATGCCTCTTGCTCCACTTTGAAGATGCCACCACCAGGTATTGAGGTTTATTTTAATAGCAAAAGCATCTTAGTGAAATCAACTATACCTGTGTGTTTAAAACAGAAAGCTTCCTTTTAAACAAAGCAAAATTTGCAATAATTCACATACTGGGCCCTTCTATCATCATTCATGCATTTAAGTTGTCCCATTAGGACACATTATAAAACCTCTTGACTCATAAGAATAATTTGTATGTTCTCAAAATAACATTAGACTTGAATTTCAGTAAAGTTATCAAAGTTAAAAACATCATAAATATGGATTATATATACAGGCAGTCCCTGGGTTATGTACAAGATAGGGACTGTAGGTTTGTTCTTAAGTTGAATCTGTATGTAAGTCAGAACTGGCGGTCAGTTTCAGCAGCAGCTGACTTGGGGTTCTTAAGTTGAATCTGTATGTAAGTCAGAACTGGCGGTCAGTTTCAGCAGCAGCTGACTTGGGGTTCTTAAGTTGAATCTGTATGTAAGTCAGAACTGGCGGTCAGTTTCAGCAGCAGCTGACTTGGGGTTCTTAAGTTGAATCTGTATGTAAGTCAGAACTGGCGGTCAGTTTCAGCAGCAGCTGACTTGGGGTTCTTAAGTTGAATCTGTATGTAAGTCAGAACTGGCGGTCAGTTTCAGCAGCAGCTGACTTGGGGTTCTTAAGTTGAATCTGTATGTAAGTCAGAACTGGCGGTCAGTTTCAGCAGCAGCTGACTTGGGGTTCTTAAGTTGAATCTGTATGTAAGTCAGAACTGGCGGTCAGTTTCAGCAGCAGCTGACTTGGGGTTCTTAAGTTGAATCTGTATGTAAGTCAGAACTGGCGGTCAGTTTCAGCAGCAGCTGACTTGGGGTTCTTAAGTTGAATCTGTATGTAAGTCAGAACTGGCGGTCAGTTTCAGCAGCAGCTGACTTGGGGTTCTTAAGTTGAATCTGTATGTAAGTCAGAACTGGCGGTCAGTTTCAGCAGCAGCTGACTTGGGGTTCTTAAGTTGAATCTGTATGTAAGTCAGAACTGGCGGTCAGTTTCAGCAGCAGCTGAATCTGGACGCCAGTTCCGACTTACACACAGATTCAACTTAAGAACAAACCTACAGTCCCTATCTTGTACATAACCCAGGGACTGCCTGTATATAAAGAGAGAGAGCACATGTGCACTTTTTCCCCAACATGAGATCTTTGAATGTAACAAAGTAATGTTATGTAATGTAACAATAAAGCATACTCCTGTAAAATATTACATTGAGTTCTGTACCAGATCCTCTGCCTTGTCCCAGTAGTTGTAATCCTGACCATTAATATGAATTGTCTCTATGTAGATTTTTTTTTTTTTTATAATGGAGATTGCCTATCTCCTAGAACTGGAAGGGACCTTGAAAGGTCATCAAGTCCAGTCCCCTGCCTTCGCAGCAGGACCAAGTAACATCCCTGATGAATTTTTGCCCCAAATCCCTAAATGGCCTCCACAAGGATTGAACACTGTGTCTTTATGTGAATTATGGATGGGGTGTTCTCTGGCTATTAAGCATTGTCTTTGGATTGCCTGGATATTTTATGTATTTATTTTATGAATGTGTGTTTGCAATCAGCCTGTAAACATCTTTTATAGTTTTCTGACCTTTAAAATGAGAAAGGGGTGATTCATTTCATATGTTGGATAGTAGCTTTGGAAGCACTGTGTTCTCAAATATAACATCTGTGTGAACAAAGATGCCTCATACAGTGTACTGCATGTCTAATATTTTCTTCACCACCAGGATAGGCAGTTCAGCTAGTTCTTGCACTATTGGAACATGTAAATTGTTAAAATCTCAGATATTAAACCACCTATGAATCATCACAGTTAATTATGTGGCTGGTATCATCAAATTCTCCTATATATATTTACTAT